TCAGTTTGCTTGACAAGTCACAACCAATAAAAGAGCATATGTTATGAAAATTCAATTTCTTTTTAATATAAAATTTTACTATAATTTTACTACATCATACTCGGCTTATAGATGAAAAATATACAATTGACAAATATAAAAACCGCACTTATTTACTATTTTGGTAATTGAAAATTTAATAGATTTTATCAACTCAACTTCAACTTTAAGATACATGTCTCATGTGTGTAGCTGAATTTTATGAGTATTTTATTTTTATTGTACGAGTAATATACGAGTATATATATACGAGTTTATATACATTTTATGCATATAGAAAACAATTTTATGTTTCGAACATTTTATGCAAGTGAACACCAAATGCGGGATGAGATGCTTTTGAATAATTCAATTTATGCATTTAATCCGATGAAATCACTTATATTTACACGTAAAAATGTTTGCATACATGAATATATTTCAGTTGGAACATGACTGAACTAGACTTGAGTTATACCCACAACTGCTGCAACTTTAAAGTATTTCCACTGAAATAAAGTTAATGCCATAGAATGTTGAGTTCGGAAATTTACTAATTTTTTTAGCAAAAGCAACAAATTTTCTTTAAACAAAAATACTTGTTTTACTCTCAGATATTGTAACATTGTTGTTTGTATTTTTAGTGTTTACTGTACAGATATGTGTGTTTATGCCAACAATAAAACATGCCTTAAAGTCCTAAAATGCCACACCAATACTAACTCTTAAAGCAAACATATCTTATCCTTGCCAAGTTATCCTTGTAGACATTTGTTTACATTTTATTTGCATTTGTTCAATCTATGTATTGTTTTACTTCTACTGTAATATTTCTTCAGTTTTCTTTTTTATGATTGTCCAGTTTTTTTTTCTTCCTGCCATTCTGTTTAAATGCATTCGACGTTCTTTTTCTCTCTATACTTCTCTGACGTATATTTCCAGCCTGTGTGAGATCTTCGACTTGCTTGGAACAGAAATTCAAAGTTTGAAAAAATCGGTTTTACCATATTTTAAACGAAATCGTACTTCAATACTTGATAAAGTAAAATTCATGCAATAGTAACACCTTACGTAAAAAATTATTGCCATTGCGACCTGGGGCCGCGTACACATTCTATGGTTTCACCTCAAATCCCGAGAAGCGGCAAACTGTTAAAATAAAATTGTGAAATCAGAATTGAATTAGAGCAAACCGCAGAGACAAATCCGCAAAAATTCAAATGAAACTTTCGTAGCTCAAACATAAATTTACACAATGCCATTACGTCCCAGTATTCGTATTCGTATTCGTACATTGCGGCATCGTACATCGTATGCACATAAGTATCCTATGAGTCTAAGCCACCAAATATCTAAATCTTGTATGCATGCGTTATGGAATGGAGATGCAATTGCAGATATGAACGAACGGCAGCGGCACGATAACAAGAAGAAAAAATCATGCTATACGATATACATAAATAAAATAAAATGCATACTCGTATAACTCATCTA